CACCCAGTACCCCGCTTCCTTAGCCAAGCTTCTGCCTCGGCGCCCCCCACGCGGCGAAGAGACGTCTTGGCTGCCTACTGCCAGCACCCAGCCTCCCTCTTCGCCTCCGCCACGCCCTTCCCCCCGCCCTCCCCCGGTGCGCCCCCCGCGCACGCACGCGCTTCCTACAGGATAGAGGGCGGGCAGGAAGAAGGGTTGGTGCACCTGCGTATCGAGGCGGGGGGGCAGGGCGGGGAAAGGAGACACAGCTCCTCGATGAAAAGGACCTACCGACTGTCAGGATCCGTCACCGAGGGCAGGGGGCCCACTCCCTCCGCCCTGGCCTCCCCCATCCTCCCTTCCTCCGCCCGGGGCTGGTTTGCCTTCGCCTCCTCCCTCCTCATCAAGCCCTCCCGCGCCCTGCTCGCTGCCGTCCGTCAGCGCCTCGACCCCGCTCCCCCCTTGGGACGGGGAGGGGAGGACGGGGCGGAGGGGGAGGAAGACGTCTACCTCCCTCGGGAGGAGCCCCGGGACGTGGTGGCCCACAAGGCGTCTCGGATGTGGTGCGGCCTCTTGTTGTTAGCCTATGGTCTCTTGATGCTCATGTCCCTTCCCGGGAGCCGCCGGCGGTTCCAGGAACGGCTGCGACGGGGGGGAGGCTCGATGCGGGCATTGGCCTTGGAACGGAGCAAGCACGAGTGGGACGCATACCTGCGGAAGACGATGGCGACGACGGCGCATCGTTAAATGTAGAGAAAGGGGGAGGAGGGGAAGGGAAATGCGTGGAGGCGTGGGTGAGAGGGGGGGTAGGGACGTTCACTCTTTGGAGTGATGCGGAGGGAAGGAGGGCGGCCGACGTCGGTGTGACGAGTGGGACTGCGGACACGAAAAGCCTCAGGAAGAGAGGCAAGGAGGGAGGGAGGGAGGGAGGGAGGGAGATAGGGGAGGGAGGGAGGGAGGGAGGGAGGGAGGGAGGGGGCCACCGTCGCCTTGGAGCGTGGGATGTGATTGAGTATGACAAGGGTACGGACGGCGAGGGGGGGAGAGTGGAAGCCCCCCCTCCGTCCGGCCCATTTTTGAGGGAAGAAGGACGGGTGATGCATGAATGAGTGTTGTTTCTCGTCCCGAGGGGACGTAGGATCGAGGCAATGCTTTAGAAAGCCTGCTTGGATAGACGATGTAGGGGCCGTGGGGATTGGGGGGGGGGGGACGTAGAGATTATGAGGTCGACGAAGAGAGAGAGGACGTGTACAGATAGTCAGCTGCTCCCGGGCCTAGTGGAGGGAAACTAACCGGCATAGGAAAAAGACTGAAGCCACAACCATAAGAAAGGGAGGGAGGGAAAGATGCGTGGTGGTGATGGAGGAGACTGGGAGGAAGGGAGGCGCACCGAGGGAGGGATCCCTCTCGGCCTTCAAAATTCTTTCAGTCGTCCCCATTGACCCGCCTCCGCCTCTCGTCTCACCGCACAAGCACAGTAAGTTAGTCAGGGTGATGAGCATGCTCACACCACAAAGGAAAAAAAAATAAATTCGTTTTTGACACGACATGGGCCGCGCGTGCTCGAGGCTGTCACCAGCACCTCCACGGCTTGATCGCCCTCGCTTTGTTGCAGACTCGTGGCCCCGTATTGAAAGCTTTGCTTCGATGCTTTTCTTGTGCGACTGTGGTGCGCTCTGCACACAATGTCTACTCGGCGTCTTGCCGTCTTTCTTATTCCTCCCAGCAGACCTCTGCCTGCCTCCCATTCCATTATATGCAAAAATCCTTTTCCCTTCCGTTACCTTAACAACACCTCCCCTTCCCACTGTTTCCCGCCATTTCTTGGGACCGGGCGGACCTCCCTGGCGACAGGCCGAAGGCAGAGGAAGAGAGGGAGGAATTGAAAGAGCGCAGTCGGATTTTCCCGGCCCCATCGATTACGATGTCGCTTCCCCCCATCCCTCCCTTGAGCCCTGCCCCCGTCTCGAAGGCTTGAAAGATTCTCTCTGCCGTCGTCTGGAAAAGACCCTGGACGGCCGTGTGGTCCTTGGCCGTTACCTCCCGGTCTAAGGGAGGGAGGGAGGAAGGGGAAGTGGGATATGAGAAGGTGAGGCGGTGAGGCAGGGGGCAGGCTCCTCTGGCAAGGGAAAAGCAGGCCCTGGTATCCTTAGCGGGAGGGAGGGGAAAGGACAAGAGGGAGGACGGAGGCGGGCGATCTCTGACCCGACGCGTCCTTACATTCCATGCCCTGGTGTGCCGCCACTGCTTCTGCTTCTTCCCGCGCCACCTGTCGGAGGGCCGCTTGGTCGGCTTTATTCCCGACCAGGGTAAAGACCAGGTGGGGATTGTTGCTGTACTGGCGCGCGTGTTCGGCCCATTTGGACACCTTCTCGAAGCTCTCGCGTTGGGTCAAGTCGAAGACGATCAGGCAGCCGTCCGCGTTGCGGTAGTAACTGAGAAACGGGGAGCGAAGAGGGGACATGGAGTAGGGGGGGGTTATCCGGGGTAGCCTCAGGGCGGGGGGGCCTGGCTAGGGCAAGGGGAGTCTCCGTTCCTTCCCACGCTGATATGCAGGACAATGCGAACAAGAGAAAGGGGGCTGCCAGCGGGCGTCCAGGGAGGGTAGAGGGGAGGGAGAGAACCGTGCCTTCATATGGAACGCACCTGTTTGTTAGGGACATGTAAGCTTCCTGCCCTGCGGTATCCCAGATCTCGATTTGTATGTTTTGGTCTCTGACGGTTGCCGACTTGAGTCCGTACTCCACCCCGACCTGGCCACAAGTGTGGGACGCGGCGCGTGTGAGATGAATGCCGTAGCTTACTAGCAGGTTTATAACAAATGCGGGCGGCGCGAGGGAGGCGTTGGAAACAGAGAGATCGTATTCCCTCTCGTCAAGCAGCACTTTCGATGCTTCTCACCGTCATGCGATGGGTTTCATTGAAGCGTTCTTCGCAATACTGGAGGAGAAGTGAGGACTTCCCCACATTCGTGTTGCCAATCACGATGTATTTCAATATCAGCGCTGCGGGATTATTAAATTGCATGAGTAACAGATTCACTTATCTCTTTAATGGTTTTACTACTCAACTTGGGTTGAACTCACATGGCATGTCAACTGTAGGGGGTAAGTGAAGGAAATCAACCAGGAAGGCGTGGACGACGCAAATGAAGAGGAATGCCTCAGCAAGAGGCTACCTACGAAAGGAAAACCTGGCAACTGTTTTTTGTTAGGCGGAGTGACTGGAGTTGATAAGCATTTAAGTAAAACAAGACTCGGCAAGACTCATCAATGCGGGGGAAAGAGTCGGTAGGGATGTGAACGTAGTATGGGCCCACGTACCTCGGAAATCTGAAGGACGTGTGCACTTGTATTAATTAGCCTATCTCTCCCAGCAAAAGCGCCAAATGGTTTGCGTATACCCTAAAAAGAAAGCAATGTATGTATGTATTTTAAAAATAAGGCTAACGAAGCTTAAAACATTTGTTAAGTACGTTAGTTCATGGGTGTGTTCCCGGGTACCCCATCGAAGAGCCCTCTCTCGATTCTATGTCGTACCCGGTGATCGCGCGCCAAGACATTAAAGAACAAAACCCCGTATTTTACTTTGATCCGATTTCCATACGCACATAAATACAACGAAGTTAAATTCAGATTTGCAACCTGAATCCACAGCCAAAAGAACTACCTTCTCCCGTGAATGCATGCCAAATCATTTCATTAAAATCACAAATCACACTCTGGTTGTGGCCCATCGGGTCCGTCGGGAGGAGTGTTTCTCCGTTCATCTCAATTTTCAGTAAAGTATTCAAGAATAAACAAACAAAACAATCCCCAAGGGAAAACAACAGGTAATTTGAGCTTCCCAAGCGCATCACCCTCCAGACATCCACACTGAACCCCACCTAGATCCCTAAACTACCTTACCACACGCCCTCTTGGCTCATGCGTCGCCTCATGCCTTTCTACTCCCCTCACTCAACCACACACGGGCTCTGCTCCCAACCGTATACCAAAAGTACATCAACTTGGAAAACGTACTAAGGACCTCTCAGGGCAGCTAGACCCGGCACGACGCTGCGCTTGTGGTTTCTTTGGTTTGCTTTTGCGTTAGTTATTCTCGTCATCCCCGTGTTTTCCAAAACACGACGAACTCGTGTGTTTGACTACCCGAGGTATCGTTGTTGAGGGACGAGGGCCGGGACGTTTGTGGGGTGTGATGGGGGTTGGTGTGGATGTGAAGGAAAGACGAGATGAGGTAGTTTAGGGATCTAGGTGGGGTTCAATGTGGTGGACTGGAGGGTAGTGTGCTTGGAAAGCGCAAATTACCTGTTGTTTTCCCTTAGGGATTGTTTTGTTTGTTTATTCTTGAATACTTTACTGAAAATTGGGGGCATCAGGGAAACACTGCTCCCTATATACACCATGGGCCACAACCAGAGTGTGATCTTGCGTCTCTACACGACTTTTTCCAGCCTCTGGGTCATTGATCTGCATCGACGATGCGTGCCTCGTCGCACGCGATCTTCTACAAATGCTTGCTAGGGGTGCTTGAAATGTATGTTCGTGGTTAGAAGGGTGGTGCTGACAGAAGGGCCACTTTTCACGTGAAAAGGTAGGAGAAATCGGGGTCCAGTCGAGAAGCGAGATCACACTCTGGTTGTGGCCCATCGGGTCCGTCGGGAGGAGTGTTTCACCGTC